GAGGTGCAACCGAGATATCTGATTGGTTGGTCTGACATCTGACCAAGATCTGATTGGTTATCTCTCTGAACCAGTCATTTTTTTTTGTTCTGCCCTCAGAACATTTCTGTGTAATTAAAACTCCCGTCAGTTTCCCTGAAGCCATATGCAGCCTGTGTAAAACTCGGCGGCCAGCAGGGGGCACTGTCGCCATGGGATGCTAATTCATGTACCAGCATTTCTGCTCTTTTACCTTTCAGCCCACGGCTGGGAGGGAGCAAAAATATGGAATGTCTGGGAGCCCCCAAAGACTGGTTTCAGTTACAGAACCTATATTGCTCTACAGATGTAAAAAGCATCCTTAGTTAGTAAATGTATAATCCTGCATTAAGCTCTTTATGTTGGCAGGAATCTGTGTCAAACTGACATGAATGTATAACAGGCGTGATTAATACAAATCCTCCCGGTTGCCGGCTCTGAGCCCTGCTGTCGTTACGGCGACGCTCGTCGCTAAGGGGAGTTGCTGTAGTATGGCTGCACGCCTTCAGGTGCCGTAAGCGGATTTTGTGGCCTGATTAGGCTGGCGGCTCGCGCGTGTAAGCTCTAAGTCGGGGGGCACCCTCCACGGGGCAGTGAGCCTCATGGCAGAGCCCGTCTGCCCCGGGGGGGCTGTGCGCGACCCCAGAGCCCACCCTGCCGCCCCCTCCTGGCTGCCACCACGCCCAGCTGCTTTCCCGGCTTTCCTCTTCACCCTCCGCAGGATTCAGAGTTACTCAGACATCTGTGCTGCTCGGTCCTGCTGGGATGGAGGGCGGGGGAGGGCTGACCTTACATCTGCCCACTCTGTGATAAATGAAAGACCGTCATTCTGTGGTCAGGTATAGCGTGGAGATGATCCACCTTCCAGTGAACTCCCTTGACGGGGTGGCTCTGTAGCTTCACGCCATGTGGTTGTTGGGTCGAGTCCCATCCCAAGCTCAGTGTGAAATATTCATGTTCCCCCCATGTCAGCATGGGTTATCTCCTGGTCTCTTCCCACACGCTGATAATGTAGGGCATCCCGGGCTGTCCCCTGCCCTGCACTTCCTGCAATATTCTGCAGGTCTGCACCCACACTGTATCAGATAAGCATTTGTGAATGATGGATGGTTGCCTTGTCATTGTCGTGCGATTTTGCCTCCTGAACTAGGGGTGTTGAGCGCTTTTCAGGAAGTGCACCGTCGACCCTGCGTGTTTGAGCTCTGGGCCGTGTTTTACACTCTCCCCGTCTCCTCCTTCCAGAGCCCGCCATGCCCTCATCTGCCCCCACCACGCCATTACCGGACGAGTGTGATGTCGACTCCGGCAGCTGCCACAGCAGTACTGTAGACAGTGACGAGGGCCCAGGTACAGCCCCCCCCCCCCCTGTCTCTCTGGTACCCCCCCGTTCCCTGATTCTCACCCAGCCCTGTCTGCAGAACCTGAAGGATCTGAGATTCCATTTGTTATTAGCATCTCACCGCTTGCTGCTTGTGCGCAGTCTCACCTCTGAGTTCCAGTTCCAAGGTTATTGTCATATTTATTTCATACAGTGAGAAGATTCTTGTTTGCCTCCTGCAGGGTGTCATTTAACACAAATTTAAAGAATAACAATAAGTAATGACAAGGCCTGTGTAGGGAGGCAGCAGTCACGGGCGACGCTGTCCGCCTTTCCGAGGCCGTCTGTCAGTGAGGCGGGAGACCAGGGCCTGCGTAGGGAGACTGCAGTCACTGGTGACTCTGTCCGCCTTTCCGAGGCCGTCTGTCAGTGAGGCGGGAGGGCAGGGCCTGCGTAGGGAGACTGCAGTCACTGGTGACGCTGTCCGCCTTTCCGAGGCCGTCTGTCAGTGAGGCGGGAGACCAGGGCCTGCGTAGG